TAGTGTGCATATCTGTGTCTTTTCTTGAGTTGTGTCAGTTTTGATTAATTCTAGCCCACACCCCTCCTTCTTTGGCCGTCAGGAGATCAAGAGCCATTCCATTCTGCAATACTACTTGACTAAGAGAGGACACCTCTGTCTGCAATCCAAGTATAGCATCCACAGTTGAGCTCTTGATACTCTCCAGTGTAGCTGCTATACTGACAATTGCCTTTTCTGATTCACTTACTCCGGGACTAGGAATAAACCATCCAATAAAACTATGGAACCCACAGGGCCTGTCTATAAGGGGGTTATTCCCCGCTTCACCCTTTTCCAAGAGTTTCTCAGCATCCCTGGGGGAGGAGCTGTTCCATTGCAGCACTAAGCATCCTCCTACATAATATCCTTCTAGTTCTCTGGAAGGGTCTTACATTGAGGCCTGCCTATAGCTGTACACTGAATTTAGGTCCTTTTTCCTCTTGTTCTGATTTTATTTGCACACCTACGCCTACTTCCTGCTCCACCCCATGGTGTCCAATTGGTGGAGGGAGTCCCACACTGAGGGATTTCCATTCCTCCATCTCTTGCTAAGGCTGTACATATCCTGCAATCAGGGAGCTTTAGGCTAACCACTGTTCCTTTAGTGATGTTTAAATAGGTATTTTCACACCAGGCTGAAGCAAGTCTTATGTAACACATGCAACCTATAGAACACATTCTAAACACATGATTGTCTCTCAATCCTTAGCTCCAGTGGTCCGTCTTCTTAACAGTGCACTGGAGCTGAGATGTCTTCTTAACTCACGTGTAGCTCCACCACGTTTGCTCTTTCACCTTGATCACTACAGATGATGCTCTGGAACCCCAAATATTGGAATTGTCTCTTGTAACAATACTTTAGTTACTTACTGAACCCTGTTGGTCCTGCAAGGGAAAAGCCTCTGGCCAACCTGAAAAGGTGTCTGTTAATACCAACATATACCTATACCCTCTTCTCTTGGGAGTTCAGAGAAATCAATTCACCATTGTTGCCCAATGGACAAATTCCCTTCCCTATTTGTCCCTTGGCAGCCTGGGGCCTGTTCTAGGACTATTCTGTAAACAAATCTCACATTGCTCTGTTACCTGCTTAGTGGTGGTGTATAAATTCCAAGCCACAATCCGTTGCCTCAAGTATTTGTACAGGGTCTCGGTTCCCCAGTGAGTCTTCCTGTGCTCAGCCATGATTATGGCCCATAATAAGAAGGCGGGAATTCTTATTTTGTTCTGAACCCTAATCCACCCTCCTTATCCCACATGCTCTCCTAAGTCCTCTATCAAGATTTGGTCTTATCTTGAATACCTTGCTTTACCCTCAGTTTTAACTCTTACTGTCTGGGACCAAAGTCTGCACCCCTGTGTCCTCTGTTTTGTGAATACTCTCCAAGCCCCCTCGATTAGGTTATCCAGGTCCTGTATTTTGCTTCCTTTCATCTGTAATTCACCAGGACAAAATACAGACATTCTCACTCTGATTAGCAGAAGACCTTGGGAGATGTAAACAAGTTCAGCAGACATGGACAGAGAAAACCAAAAGATTGTGGCTTCCACTTGTTCTAGTAAATCTTGCCCTAGGAAAGGCTTTGGTGAGTTTGGCACCTACAAACATTTGTGTATCCCTACCTGTTTACCTATACTAAGTTGTAAAGGCTTAAGAAAGTATGCCTCCTCACTTGTGCCAGTGGCTTCCCCTATGGTTACAAATTCATCACTTACTGGAGTTAGAGAAGCATTTCACACCCAATAAGTTGCTCCAGTTACTACCAATTCCACACTTGGCTGCAATTCCTTCCTTAGCTTAATCTTCTCCACCCTTAACTGTTATTGCATCTGTTACCAAATCCAGTGCCTCTTACTGCACTGCTTTTCTGTCCTGAGCCTTTCCAGCTCCCCCCCTTTAGCTCTTCCTGAGGAGATCTCTGGGTCCTACAGCCCTGCTCTCAGCTCCTCCCCTGCTAAGGCTTCCCATGCTAACACTGGGATATCCAGTTTCCCAGGTCTCTGGCAGATGAAAGCTGGTCACTTCCAGCGTCTCGTCTCCTGCCTTGGCACAAACAAGATGAACTGCTAAATGGTCATCACCTTCCAAACACCATTGATTACAATTTTTTCTTAAAGTTCTGTTGCTCATGGGGCCCCCAGGCTCCCCAGCAGTATCTGAAGTGGAATTTTCTTGGGAACTTCCTTTCCCCTGCTCCCCCATACCCAATTTCAATGATTCTTCATTGTTCCCCAAAGTCCACACCTCATAGCTAGTACGTTAGTGTGACCAAATGCATATTCCTCTTTAAAGCGTCCACAGTGCCAACCAAAACGCCACTTTCCTCTATTCCACTGTAATCCCTGGACATTACTACAGGTCGAGGGCCCGATATGTCGACCTGACCCCACCCGGAGGGAAGTGTGCTGCCTCCCTAGGGCACAGGACAGCGACATCTCTGGAAAGCTTCCTGGGCTTATTCACCCATCTGAGTACTACCCCTTATTGGTAGTTCAGTTTGGCAGTGATGATGCTGCCAAGAGAAGCCTAAGGGCTATCAAGAATGACTTCAAGGTCTGGGGAGGGTACTGGATGGTGCAGGAGTGCAGGTGGTCTTCTCTTCTATCCCTTCAGTGGCGGGCAATGACACTGAGAGGATCAAAAAAACCCTCCTCATCAATAAATGGCTTAGAGTCTGGTGCAGGCACAAGAACTTTGGTTTTTTTGACCATGGGGCAATTTACTTGGCTCCTGGCATGACGGCTGCAGATGAAGTTCACCTGTTTGCAAGGGGTAAAAGGATCCTAGCCCAGGAGCTGGCAGGCCTCATTGAAAGGTCTTTTAACTAGGTAAGATGGGGGAAGGGGACAAAATGAGGGCTGCTGAGGCTGTGCAGGTAGTTCGAGGTTCAAAAGAGAACTTGATGGGTGATGAAGGTGGAGTTCGAAGGGATGGAGTGTGGCAGGGGAATGCTGCTTCCCTGAAGTGTCTATACACTAATGTGCGCAGCATGGGAAATAAACAGGAAGAGTTGGAGATCTGCATGCGGTCGCACGGCTACAATCTAATTGCAATCACGGAGATGTGGTGGGACAGCTCGCATGACTGGAATGTTGTCATGGAGGGCTATGTGCTTTTTAGGAAAGATTGGCCAGCGAGCCGGGGTGGTGAAGTTGCTCTTTATGTGAGAGAGCAGCTAGAATGTATTGAACTCCACCTGGGGGAGAGTGATGTAGCAGTGGAGAGCTTGTGGGTGAGAATCAAGGGGCAGGCTGGTAGGGGTGACACTGTTGTGGGTGTGTACTACAGGCCCCTGATCAGAATGACGATGTTGATGAGACCTTCCACAAGCAATTGGATGTAGCGTCATGTTCGCAGGGGCTGGTGCTTATGGGGGACTTCAATTATCCAGACATTTGCTGGAAAAGCAATGTGGCCAGGCAGTCACGGTCCAGACGGTTCTTGCAGTGTGTTGAAGACAACTTTCTGATGCAGGTGGTTGAGGAACCGACGTGGGGAGGGGTACTGCTGGACCTTATTCTCACTAATAGAGAAGGGCTTGTCAGGGAAGTAAAGACTGGGGACAGCTTGGGTTGTAGTGACCATGAGATAGTGGAGTTCAAGATCCTGAGTGGAAAAAGTAAAGCAAAAAGTAGGATTGCTACCCTGGAACTTCAGGAGAGCCAACTTTGATCTCTTCCGGGACCTACTTGGAGCTATCCTGTGGGCTAGGGTGTTGGAAGGCAAGGGGGCCTGTGAGAGCTGGTCGGCATTTAAGCAGCTCTTCTTCCAAGCTCAGGATCAGTGCATCCCTGTGAGCAAGAAATCGGGAAAGGGTGGCAGGAGACCTGGGTGGATGAGCAAGGAGCTCTTGCGCAAACTCAAAGGAAAGAAGAAGGCCCATGAAATGTGGAAAAAGGGTCTGACCACTTGGGAAGAATACAGGAATGTTGTCAGGGCCTTCAGGGATGCAACGAGGAAGGCTAAAGCCCGCCTGGAATTAAATCTGGCGAAGGGGATAAAGGATAATAAAAAAAGGCTTTTTTAAGTATGTTAACAGTAAAAGGAAGACTAGGGAGAATGTGGCTCCCCTGCTAAGTGACGGGGGTGTTCTGGTAACAGGGGATGCTGAGAAGGCGGAGATACTGAATGCCTTCTTTGCTTCTGTCTTCAGTGAAAAAGCTCCCCCTCCGGAATCCGAGACCCTGGAGGTTAGTGAGAGGGTTGGGGAATGGAAGACCTCACTTCTGTCAGGGAAGAGGTGGTCCGAGAGCTTTGGTCATCTTTGAGAGGTCTTGGAGGATGGGGGAGGTGCCTGAAGATTGGAAGATAGCCAGTGTCACTCTGGTCTTCATAAAGAGCAAGAAGGAAGATCCAGGCAATTATAGGCTAGTCAGCCTCACCTCTGTCCCTGGAAAGGTGATGGAACAACTGATGCTGGATGCCATCTCCAGACAAATGAAAGAAAAGGAGGTTATCAAGAGTAGTCAGCATGGGATCACCAGGGGGAGGTCGTGCTTGACCAACCTGGTAGCCTTCTATGATGTTGTCTCTGGTTGGGTGCATGGGGGGAGAGCAGTGGATGTAGTCTACCTTGATTTCAACAAGGCATTTGATACTGTCCCCCACGACATCCTTATAACAAAGCTGAGGAATGGTGGGATAGATGAGTGGACAGTGAGGTGGATTGAGAACTGGCTGACTGGCAGAGCACAGAGGGTCGTTGTTAGCGGTGCAGAGTCCAGTTGGAGGCCTGTAACTAGCGGTGTTCCTCAGGGGTCGGTGCTGGGTCCGGTCTTGTTCAACATCTTCATCAATGACCTTGATGAGGGGATAGTGGCCACCCTCTGCAAGTTTGCTGATGACACGAAGTTGGGAGGATTGCCTGAATGCCGTGCTGCCATTCAGCGAGACCTGGACAGGCTGGAGAGCTGGGCAGAAAAAAACTGGATGAGGTTTAACAGAAGCAAGTGTAGAGTCTTGCATCTGGGGAGGAATAATTGCATGCATCGTTACAGGTTGGGGGATGAGCTGCTGGAGGAATGGCTATGTGACAAAGGGCACGTAAACATGGTACAGCTCGCTGATCACGAGTTTGAGAATTACAGAACTCAGCTTGTCTGAATTGTTAACATCTCAAGGACACACGACATGGTGGATACAAAGAAACAGAAGCAATATCTAAAGGAATGAAGAACAGGCATAAGGTGGGAGGGATTGGCATTCAGCTTCAAGCACCAATGATGAGCTCGCTTTTGCACTATGTGTGAGGATTATTAAGACATGTATAAAAGAGAATCTTTGGTAATCAAGAAACGAGACTTGTTGATCACTCATATTGAGTGCCAGGTTCTCCTTGTTACCACAAATTGTCAAAAAGGCAAGAATGTTTGTCCAGAGTTAATAAGCTTAGCTTGCGAAAACACAAACCTGCCTTACTGGAAGCTTGCGCAAACAGGGAACTCGCACAAATACGGTCAAAGGTTAGCGATTGTGTAATCGACCAATAGGATTCGCTTATATGAGCAACATACCATAAATGGGAACCCCCAGAAGGGGTCAAGAAAAGGATACGGAGGAAGACTACTTACTTCAACCCATACGACCACCGGGAGGCAGAAGAAGACCCCCTAGCAACAGCCGGATCATGCGCAGAGTACACCACAATGGGAAAATGGAAGGACACGAACTGCATAAAAGGATCGGGTACTGGTTCAAACCTTGCGACAGTTGGTGGAACGCAGAGTCCCCTGTCGCCCAGCGCTGCATTGCCTCTTTGTTCTTTGCTCATTATAATTAATAAATTCAATAATTGACTCCTTAACTTTTGGTCCATCATTCTACCTATTACAATTGGTGCCGTGACTCGGATAGGAATAGTGGCTGGGTTCTGAGGGTTGGGGAGGCGCCCCACCAGAATTGGCGGCCCCACCCTTGACTCCCTGCCTTACTCCTACCGACGATCCGAAATTTAAGAGCAAAAAGGCAAGAAAGGATCGGTCGACCCCTTAAATTTTGTGCACAAAGGTCTGGACGAAGACGCAGGACGCGTAAGTAACTGCTGTTTTGGCAAGGGTTTTCCGTTCGGTCGGGGTCGGGTTTCCCAGAGTGTGATGAGTGGTGTGTGTGTGAGAGGGGGCCGGTAGCTCAGACTAACCCAAGCGAGTGTGGACCCTCTAATAGTGCGGTTCTCATTGCCTGCGAAGGCGTGAGCCACAAACGAGGGGAAGCGAGTGGAACGCACACACAGTTGAGTGGAGGCACTCCGGAAGATGGGACACGGAAAGAGCAAGGCCCCTGTAGCCATGAAACGTCCTCCAATCCCAAAGGATTCCCCTCTAGCATTCATGTTAGAAATGTGGAGGTACTATCCCGGGACAGGAAATAAGAGTAAAGCCAAGATGATTCATTATTGTGTAAAAGTATGGGGAGATCAAAAGATTGGCCCAGCTGTTTGGTGGCCGAAATTTGGATCCAGCGAAGATTGGGTACAACAACAGTTAAATATTTGGGTTAACACTAAGACTCCCTTCAGTCAGGAAGAGAGTGAATATGCAGCCGTTTGGGTTACACGCCCAGGGGGACCAGGAATCCCGATTTTCAAATTGTCCAAAGTAGACACAAAGACTGAAAAACAGAAGCCTCGAAAAGAGGAGGATATCCCCATGGGACCCCCACCATATGTCCCACCACCACCGATAGCTCCTCCTCTTCCACAACCCGAGGTAGATAACCAGGATAATTCAAATAATCAAGGAATGGACCCTAATTTGGGCCCTCAAACCAGGAGACGGATACGTCAACAAAATCTATGTCCACTGCGAGAGGTACCTATGGGGGGTCCCAATCCACAGATGGGATTTATTTCGGTACCTCTAAGTTCGGGGGATGTTAGGGAATTTAAGAGAGAGATGGGTAGGCTTTTGGAAGACCCATTAGGAGTTGCGGAAAGGGTAGACCAGTTTCTAGGCCCCAATATATATACGTGGGATGAATTACAGTCCATTCTAGGCATCTTATTTACAACTGAAGAGAAACATATGATTAGGACTGCAGGAATGAGAATCTGGGACGCCCAGCATGCCCAGGGACCTCAGGCGGATGTAAAATGGCCCCTACAAAGACCCCAATGGGACCACCAAGATCCAAATCACCGAATACATATGCAGGATTTACGAAGTATAGTTATCCAAGGAATTAGAGAAGCAGTCCCTAGAGGCCAGAATATCAATAAAGCTTTTAACGAAAGACAGAAGAAAGAGGAATCCCCTAATGACTGGCTGGAGCGGTTACGAAAAAAATCTACAAATGTATTCAGGTTTGGATACTGAAACCCCGTTAGGACAGGCTTTGTTGAAAACGCAGTTTGTAGCAAAGGCCTGGGACGATATACGAAAGAAACTCAAAAAGATTGAGAATTGGCAGGACAGGGGGATGGATGAATTACTAAGGGAAGCTCAGAAGGTATATGTTCGCAGGGATGATGAGAACCAAAGGAGGCAAGTTAGGATGATGGTGGCCGCAGTTAGAGAGAGTCGGGAACTGGACAAGCAGGAAAGGCGGCCATTACAGAAACCACCCTTCAGTCAGGGGAAGAGCGAAGGAGCAAGGGAAAGAAAGGAAGAACGGACTTGCTTCTACTGCGGGAAGAAAGGTCACCTAAAGAAAAATTGTAGAAGTAGGATACAAGATGAAAAGATGTTTAAAGAAGACTAGGGAGGTCAGGGGCTTTACCTTTTGGGGACTCAGAAACACCGTGAGCCCTTGATAAAATTAAAGATAGGTCCCCAACAAGAAGAAGTAGAATTTTTGGTGGACTCGGGGGCTGAGAGATCCACCATACAACAACTACCCTCTGGATGTGAATTGTCCAGAGAGACAGCCCTAGTAGTAGGAGCTAAGGGAGAACCCTTTAAAGTAGGGGTTGTTAAAAATGTAGAAATAGAAACAGAATCTAAGCTAGGATTGGGAGACTTCTTGATAGTACCAGAAGCTGAATTCCATTTGTTAGGGCGAGATCTAATTATAGAATTGGGAATAAGCTTGGAGGTAAAGAACAGGGAAATAAGGATTAAACTTTGCCCTTTAAAGGTGGAAGATGAAGAGAGGATTAACCCTGAAGTATGGCATACAACCGAAAGTGTGGGGCGTCTGGAAATACCTCCTTTTTCAGTTAAACTTAAAGACCCTGAAATCCCTATAAAAATAAAACAGTACCCCATTTCATTGGAGGGAAGGAGAGGCCTAAAGCCAGAAATAGAGAGACTTATAAAGCAGGGGTTATTGGAACCCTGCATGTCCCCATTCAATACTCCTATATTGCCGGTTAAAAAGCCTAATGGTACATATCGTTTGGTACATGATCTACGGGAAATAAATAAAAGGACAATATCTCGTTTTCCTGTAGTTGCTAATCCTTACACCTTGCTGAGCAAATTAGGCCCTGAAAATTTATGGTATAGTGTAATTGATTTAAAGGATGCATTTTGGGCCTGCCCTCTAGATGAGTCTTGCCGGGATTATTTTGCCTTTGAATGGGAAGACCCGGATACAGGGAGAAAACAACAGTTGAGGTGGACAGTACTACCACAGGGCTTTACCGAATCCCCAAATCTGTTCGGGCAAGCCCTAGAACAGATTTTACGAGAATATCAACCAGCTCCAGAAATCACCCTTATCCAGTATGTCGATGACCTGTTAATCGCAGGAAAAGAGGAGGAACAGGTTAGGGAAGAAAGCATCAAACTCCTTAATTTTCTAGGGTTAAAAGGCCTCAAAGTTCCAAAGGCAAAATTACAGTTTGTGGAAGAAGAAGTCAGGTATTTAGGTCACTATATTAACAAAGGGGAAAAGAAGATAGATCCAGAAAGAATAAGAGGGATATTGTCCTTGCCACCCCCCCAAAGTAAAAGACAAATAAGGCAGATTTTAGGGCTAGTGGGATATTGTAGGCAATGGATCGAGAATTATAGTAAGAAAGTAAAATTTTTATATCAAAAATTAACCCCCGAGGGGTGGATAACTTGGGGTGAAGATGACGAGAGGAAGTGGCAGGCATTGCGAGAAGATCTAGTCAATGCCCCGGTTTTAAGCCTCCCTGATCTTAAGAGACCTTTCTATTTGTTTGTCAATATAGATGATGGTACAGCATATGGGGTCCTGACTCAGGAGTGGGCTGGAAAGAAAAAGCCTATAGGGTACTTTTCAAAATTATTAGATCCAGTGAGTAGGGGATGGCCCACTTGTCTGCAGGCAATAGTAGGATGTGCTTTACTAGTGGAAGAGGCTAGAAAAGTTACCTTTAACAGCGACATAAGGGTGTTGTCTCCCCATAATATTCGGAGTGTTTTACAACAAAAAGCTGAAAAGTGGATCTCAGATTCTCGTTTGTTGAAATATGAGGGTATTTTGCTAGAAGCGCCAAATTTAACCCTAGAAACTACTAGTTTACAAAATCCTGCACAATTTCTATATGGCAGACCCGAGGAATCACAATTATTACATAATTGCCTTCAAACTATTGAGAACCAGACAAAGATTAGACCGGACCTAGAAGAGGAAGAATTAGATGAAGGAGAAAGAATCTTTGTAGATGGGTCTTCTAGGGTGATTGATGGAAAAAGGAAATCAGGATATGCACTGATAAACTGGAAAACGTTAAGGGTATTAGAATCTGGGCCGTTGAGCCCCTCTTGGTCAGCGCAGGCCTGTGAACTATATGCAGTTCTACAGGCCTTAAGAAGACTGGAGGGAAAGTCAGGAACAATATACACTGATTCTAAATATAGTTACGGAGTAGTACACACTTTTGGAAAAATCTGGGAAGAAAGGGGACTAATTAACTCCCAGGGAAAGGACTTAATACATCAGGAATTAATAAGGGAAGTTTTACAAGCATTAAGGGGACCGCTTAAAATAGCTGTAGTACATTTAAGGGGGCATCAAAAAGGAATTGACTATAAGACGCGGGGAAATAACATGGCAGACCAAGAGGCTAAACAAGCTGCGTTACGCGTATTAGTACTAACAAAGGACAAACCGAAACATACAGAATTGAGAATAGAACCTCTCGTGTTCACCCCTAAGGAAGAACAGAAACTTACTCAAATGGAAGTAACTAAGAGTGAGGAAGGGAAATGGTATCTATCAGATGGAAGAGAAGTTCTACCAAAATCAATAGCCTTTAATATCTTGACTAATTTACATAAACAAACCCATTGGGGAAGTCAGGGTTTGGTAGACCACTTTGCCACCAAATATATGACTATAGGTCTCCACGACTTAGCAAAGAAGATTACCCAAGGATGCCCCACATGCCTGAGGATTAATAGAGCTGTACAAAGACGGGTACCTATGGGTGGAAGACCCCTAGCAGTAAGACCATTCTCTCGAGTCCAAATTGACTTTACGGAACTTCCCAAAGTAGGACGTTACAAATATGTTTTAGTCATTGTAGACCACCTCACTCATTATATTGAGGCCTTTCCTACCTCTAGAGCGACTGCTCAAACTGTGGCAAAGGTCCTTTTAGAACAAATAATCCCCAGATACGGGGTCACTGAGGTTATCGACTCCGATCAGGGTCCCCACTTCACATCTAAAATTATAAAGAACCTGACGGAAGCCTTGGGAATAAAATGGGAAGAACACACTCCCTGGCATCCCCAAAGCTCGGGATGCGTGGAACGGATGAATGGAGAGTTGAAAAAGCAATTGGCGAAACTGACACTAGAAACCACACTCTCATGGATAAAATGTATTCCTTTAGCATTATTAAACATTAGGGCGCAACCTAGGGCCGATATAGGGATATCTCCTTTCGAAATGTTATATGGAATGCCCTACGATGCAGGAGTTCCTATTGATCATCCAAATATCACAGATAAGACCATTAATATCTATATCAGTGAACTAATGAGATATAGACAGGAGTTGTGGGAGAAAGGTCAAATAACCCAAAGACCCCCTCTTGATATTAGGTTACACCAGATTAAGCCAGGAGATTGGGTTCTTATAAGATCATGGAAAGAAGCCACTCTACAGCCCCGTTGGGAGGGACCTTATTTGGTACTCTTAATTACTAATACGGCGGTTGGAACCGCAGAAAGAGGATGGACACACGCCAGCCGTATTAAAGGACCAGTAGACAACAATGAATGGGAAGTTACTAGTCCAGTGGGGGATTTGAAGGTGAAGCTGTCCAGAAAATCGCGATAAACAAAACTTAAACGGGGGGGGGATTTATTTTGCCACAGGGACTTCTGCGAAGACAATAGAGTAAAACAGTTGAACAGAAGAAACCCATATAATCCCTCTGGTGAAGAAACCTCAGCCCATCTGAAGAAGCTAAATGGTTGGGGCATGGTTTGAACACCTGCTTTTTGCTGTACAGTGCTCAATAGGGTTTGTAATAGCATTAATCTTGTCACTAATTTTGTATTTTTTTGTGGAAAGTCGTTAAATGTGGAAAAGGGGTTTGTGTTTATGGATAGAGAAGAATGAAAATTATTTTTAGGACTTTGAAAGACGAATTTGTTAAATACTTTAATAGAATATTAAGTGAGGTCAGCCTACCAAGTCTGCCCTGAATACAACGGGTATACAGCTGTAAGGGTTGGCCGATTGTTGAAAAGGCTCCGGAACCAAACTCCTGAGACACTCTGTGGATAAGTGCCTGGATTGCCCCAAGGGGTTCAATAGTGAATATAACAGACTGTGATGGGGAAAAGTTCACCTTCGAGTAGGTCTTCTGCTGCCGAGAAGATAAAAACCCCTGTAACTGGCTGCAACCCAGTTGACAGGCGAGGCAGAGATGGACCTCGGGTGAAGGGACGATACTTGGCCCCGAAGACTATCATTTTGGTCTGTGCATCTATTTTACTCCCGGGGGTACGGGCCAATAATCCACACGAGCCTATGATATGGGAATTATTCAACATGCAACAACCTGACCAACCCTTGAAAAGCTGTAAAAATCAAACCCACGTAAATTTTACCGTTTCTTTAAGAAAGTTAATTACGGGACACCGCAGAGATAGGGCAGATAACTGTATGGGATTTTATGTTTGTCCCGCTTCAAACAGAGGGAGAAATTATTGTAACTTGCCAAATCATTACTACTGTGGTTACTGGGGATGTGAGACATGGTCATCTGAATGGCCCACAGATATTAAAGACCCAGATATACAGGTGGAATGGTTCCCTCCTGGTTGCAAACGACCCACCATAGGAAGAGATGGGCACGTTTACGGACATTGTGAGGATGGTGGATACTGTAAGGAAATTAATATAAAGGTTCAAGAGCCTACGAAAGATGGTTGGTTAGTTGGAAGAATGTGGGGAATTAGATTTTGGGAACCAGGTCCAGACAGGGGTGGTATATTTAGAATAGCAAAGAGAAGTATGCCACATGATTCCCCATTGTCTATAGGCCCAAATATAGTATAAGGCACCACCACCTACACTCAGTGATCCACTATGGGGCATTATGCAAGCCGCATATGCTGCCCTGAATAAAACGCAACCAAACTTAACTAACGAGTGTTGGTTGTGCTATAGTGCTAGACCACCTTATTACGAGGCAGTTGGAGAACCAAGCAAGGTCACGTGGAATAATGGAACAAATCCTGCTGCATGCCCATGGGATAGTAATCACACCCAGGGGTTAACTATACAACATGTCACAGGGAAAGGAAAGTGTGTTGGAACCATACCAGAACAATATAAAAGTCTTTGTAACAGCACAATATCTTAAGGTAGAATAAAGAACAAGGCAAACGCAAAATTTAAATGGCTAATCCCCACAGCAGGTGCAAAGTGGGTATGTTCAGATATCGGAATGACACCATGTATATCATTAGAGGTATTTAATAGATCTGAATTTTGTATACAAGTAGTAATTATCCCGCGATTAATGTATCACTCTGATGAAGAGGTTATGTATCAGCTTGAAGGGAGCCTCATCAGACAGAAAAGAGAGCCTATAACAGCAATTACTTTAGCAACCCTCTTGATTGCCGGAAGTGTGGGTGCCGGAACCGGCATAGCCTCACTCGTCAAAAGTAACGAGATACAAAGTTTACAACAAGCTGTAGATGAAGATCTAGACAGAATAGAACAGTCAATTGATAAATTGGCAACTTCGGTCAAATCATTATCAGGGGTGGTATTACAAAATCGAAGAGGATTAGACCTCCTATTCCTAAAGGAAGGGGGACTATGCGTAGCACTACAAGAAGAATGTTGTTCATTCGTTGATCATACCGGGATAGTTAAGGATTCCATGGCTGAACTTCGTAAGAGATTGGAACAACGAAAAAGGGATAGGGAAATAGGAAGATCCTGGTATGAGGGTTGGTTTAACATATCACCATGGCTCACTACTTTACTGTCTGCTCTGGCTGGACCCTTGATCACGATTATTCTGGGGCTAATATTTGGACCATGTATAATTAAATGATTATTACAACTGATAAAGAAGCGATTTGACACCACGAAATTGCTAATCTTAATGCAAATGACTCCGCAGAGGGAAATAGAGAAATTGTAAATAGAAAAAGTGTGATATTCCATCCCATGATCACAATTATGAAAGGAGAATTGTAACTATGAAAATTGGAGGACAAACATTCAACGATAAAAGAAAAGGGGGGAAATTGTCAAAAAGGCAAGAATGTTTGTCCAGAGTTAATAAGCTTAGCTTGCGAAAACACAAACCTGCCTTACTGGAAGCTTGCGCAAACAGGGAACTCGCACAAATACGGTCAAAGGTTAGCGATTGTGTAATCGACCAATAGGATTCGCTTATATGAGCAACATACCATAAATGGGAACCCCCAGAAGGGGTCAAGAAAAGGATACGGAGGAAGACTACTTACTTCAACCCATACGACCACCGGGAGGCAGAAGAAGACCCCCTAGCAACAGCCGGATCATGCGCAGAGTACACCACAATGGGAAAATGGAAGGACACGAACTGCATAAAAGGATCGGGTACTGGTTCAAACCTTGCGACAGTTGGTGGAACGCAGAGTCCCCTGTCGCCCAGCGCTGCATTGCCTCTTTGTTCTTTGCTCATTATAATTAATAAATTCAATAATTGACTCCTTAACTTTTGGTCCATCATTCTACCTATTACACAAATGGTGGAGAATGCGGGCACATTCTACTCACCACGGGTAACAACTTACTGGGTTCAATTCCTAGCAGCGAGGAAGACTCATAGAGCATCCAAACAAAAGATGCTCCGGATTTCAGGCGACCTCATAGGAGAGTCCTGGCCAGTACGCGCCGCCGAGACCTTGCAAGGCTGCAACAGCGCGCGCTGACTAATTGAGGTGATGGAAAGGCAAGCAGCATATGATTTATTTACTTGCTTTTTAGAAAAGCGTCAGGTTAAGGGAATTGACCTCTGTAAAGAGCTCTCAGGGCTCCTAGCATACGGGGAGGCTAAACGTTGCTTTGTAAATCCGCATACAGTTCATGAAGTGGGGGAGTGGAGGAAGTTTGGTGATTTATTATGGGAGACGGTGTTAGAGGTGGATAAAACAGCCAAAAAAATTAGCAAAACAATGGAAGGTGGTGATTAATGCTTTACAGCAGTATCATAGCGAACAAAAGGCGGCAAAACGGGCGACTGACGCCCTTGGGGAATGAAGGGGCAGCAAGACCTGAAACCCTGTCGTGGGGGGGGGG